ACTATAAATATGCACCACCATGGCCAGCTAATTTTTTTTTTCTTTTTTGAGACAGGGACTTGCTCTGTCATCCACGCAGGAGTGCAATGACATGATGGCTAATTTTTTTTTCAGAGATGGGTGTCTCTCTGTGTTGCCCAAGCTGGTCTTGAACTCCTGGCCTCAGGCGATTCTTCTACCTTGGCCTCCCAAAGCTCTGGGATTGCAAGTGTGAGCTACTGAGCCTGACCAGAACTTTAGTAAGCATCAGTACCTGTAAAAGGGAGGGGACAGAAGTATGACTGGGCAGAGGAACAAACAGAACTACAATGGAGAGCCCAACAAAGCCCTGGCCAGCTAATCTGGACAGGAGTTCTGGAGTAAGTGTCTTAGCTTGGGCTACTGGAACACATTAACTATAGATTGGGAGGCTCAAACACAAAAAGGATTTATTTCTCCCTGTTCTGGAGGCTGGAAGTCCAAAATCAGGGTGCCAGTATGGCTGGGTTCTGGTGAGGGCCCTCTTCCGGTTGCAGACATGCCTACTTCATGTTGTGTCCTCACATGGTGGAAAGAGAGCTAGCTAGCTCTCTGGCCTCTAATCCCATTAGCAGGCGCTAATCCCATTAGCAGAATCCTCATGACCTCATGACCTCTCACAGGCCACACCTCCTAACACTATCACATTGGGATTAGGGTTTCCATATGTGAATTTCGGTGGAGTGGGGAGTGTAGAGGAACAAACATTCAGTCCATTGCAGTGCGTACTGCTCACCTGAGTGTCTTGTGTTGGGCCAAGATGGCTGGGCCTTTATTCCCCCGTGGCTTCACTGAGTCACTGCTTGCGGGCCATCCTAGGAAACATGTGAACTCAGCCCAGGCAGCTGTGAAGCTGAGGCAGGCCCTGAAAGAACTTGAAGGGGGTCTGGTGGTATGGGTTTATATTTGCATGGTCTATTCCTCTACATATAATCAAGGAGCTGTTCCTTTAAAATTCTGGTGGCCTGGTGTTCTTTCAGGGTAACTTAATGAGGGCAACTAGTGGGATGAATCATAACCCTTGCCACTGGAGCTGGTCTTAGACAACTGCACTAGGAAAAGAAAAATATCCAGATTTTTTAAGGACTACTGGACACAGGGTCTGAGTTTACATTGATATCTAGAGACTCAAAGTGTCATTGTGGCCCCTCTGTTAGAGTGGGGTGTACAAAGGCCAGATAATGAATAGAGTCCTGGCCCAAGTCCACCTTAGTGGGACTTTATGGTGCTTACAGTGGGGCAATGGGGCCAAGGTCCCAACTGGTTGTCATTTTACTGGTCTTTGAATATATAATTGGGATTGACATAATCGGTAGTTAGTGTAACTCCTACATTGGTTCCTTGGCCTGTGGGATAAGAGCTGGGATGTGGGGAAGGCTAAGTGGAAACCTCTGGAACTGCCTGTATTGGTTTCCTGGGGCTGCCATAACAAAGTATTACAAACTGGGTGACTTGAATAACAGAAGTTCGTCATCTTACAGTTCTGGAGGCCAGAAGTCCAAAATCAAGGTGTTGTCAGGGTTGGTTCCTTCTGAGGGCTACGAGGGAGAATATATTCCCTGCCTCTTCCCCAGCTTCTGGTGGTTTGCTGCCAATCTTTGGCTTCCTTGGCTTGTAGAAGCATCACTCCAATTTCTGCCTTCATCTTCATGTGGCGTGTGTGTGTGTGTATGTGTGTGTGTGTGTCTATGTCTATGTGTGTCTGTGTGTCTGTGTCCAAATTTCCCCTTCTTATAAGAACACCAGTCATATTGGATTAGGGGTCCACCTGCTTCAGTATGATCTCATCCTAACTTAACTAATTTACATCTGTAATGCCTTTACTTCCATATAAGATTACTTTCTGAAGTACTGGGGATTAGGACTCCAACATCTGAATTGTAGTGGGGTGGAGGAACACTATTCAACCCACAACACTACCCTCCACTCAGCAGAGTATCAAAAGCAATATTGGATCCTGGGGGTATGGCTGAGATTAGTGCCACCTTTAAGAATCTAGAAGATGCAGGGATAGTGAGTCTCATTGTGTCTCCATCTAATTTGTCAGTCTGGCTCCTTCAGAAACTGGCTGGATCCTGAAGGTTGACAGCGGACTGCCATAGTTCAACCAAAAAACAGCAGCCCCAGTGGCAGCCAGATGTTGTATCATTTCTAGGGAACCTTAACCTGGCCTCAGGTCCCTGGTATGTGGCCCTCAATTTGTCGAATGCATGCTTTTCTATTCCTATCACAAAATAAGATCAAAAACAGTTTACAATCATACAGAATGGGAGACAATATTCATTTACAGTTTTGTCCCAAAGGTATTTTAACTCTCCTGCCTTCTGTCATAATTAGTAAAAGGGGATCTGGACAGTCTGGATACCCCACAGAACATCACATCAAGTCATGATGTCGATTACCTTATGTAAGAGGGGGCCAGCACAATGAAGGACTTGGTAAGACACATGGGCTCCAGAGGGTGGGAGATGAACACCGAAAATTCAGGAACCTGCCACATGCCTGTCAGGAGTTCAGTGGTCTGGAGTTCAGTCCTAGAACGTTCCCTCCAAAGTAAAGGACAAGTCAGGCATGGTGACTCATGCCTGTAATCCCGGCCGTTTGGAAGGCCAAAGGAGCCAGATCGCTTGAGGTCAGGAGATCAACACCAGACGGGCCTACATGGTGAAACCCAGTAGCCGAGCATGGTGGTGCATGCCTGTAATCCCAACTACTTGGGAGGCTGAGGGAGAATTGCTTGAACTCAGGAAGCGGAGGTTGCAGTGAGCTGAGATTCATTTGAATCTATGTTGAGTTTCATCAAACAGTGGATCTATTTCGATTACCACAGCATTTTTTTTTCCAATTCATCTGTTAATATAGTGAATTCAATTGATAAAATTGGACGTTTTTATGTTCAATTTTTAAAACTTGAGACAGGGTCTCACTCTGTCATCCAGGCTGGGGTGCAGTGGTGTTATCAGAGCTCACTGCAGCTTTGACCTCCTGGGCTCAAGCGATCCTCCCACCTCAGCCTCCTGAGTGGCTGTGAGTCTAGGTACATGCCACCATGCCCAGGTAATTTTTTGACGGCTTATTCTTTGTTTTTTGTAGTGATGACATTTTCTGATGCTGCTCAGGCTGGTCTCGATGGAAGTCCTGAGCCCAGGTGTTCTGGCCAGCACAGCCTCCCAAAATACTAGGATTACAGGCGTGAGACTTGGCCTGATCAGGTTTTTCTTATATAGGGGTGTTATCTATATAAAGACTAAATTTATATGTATCTTTGTGCAGGTGGGCAAAGAGCGTGATGAAATTTACCATTCTGTTGATTTAAAGACAACTATCCTTGACTTACCAGTGTGTAAGTCCATAAGAGCATAATTATGTTGAAAGCATGTACTGTTATGGGTGTTGGGAACCCTGCAGCTTCCGCTGCTGTGGGGGCATGTCCGTGGAGGTACCTTTCGTCTGTTTTCTCAACTCCAAACATCTTAGGACCATGGGTTGTGAGTGGTAGGACTATGTATCTTGCTAGATTCAAGACGGAGTTGATTTTCACATGGTGCCACTCTGGCTGTCCCGTTTCCCTAATACTGTCACTTCTCCTTCTGTGATTCTGATGCTACAAATGATAGATATCGTTTTAGTATTTCTTTACAGGTCCCAGAAATTGAATTCATTTTTCTTTCAGTCTCTTTCTGTGACTTGTTCACATTGAACAATTTCCTTGTGGGGTAGGTTGCTATTGCCATTTTCGCAGGTGGTCTACCTGTCTTCCCAGGCAGTCACCATGGTTCTTGTCCCCATAATGGGGCCAGGGCAAGAGAGGACCCTGGGTGTGTGTGTGTGGGGGGGTTCAGTTGAAGATCAAGTGAGTTTTGAGGGGAGCACTACTTGAGGTATTTGAGTCCCAGAAGCATAGGAAACAGCAAAGGGAGGTTGGATTCCATTATCCTCAGTGTGGATGCGAATCGGGGGTTTGGGATATGGGGCTGGGAACGGCAGCCCAGGCCCACAGCCGCGCATGCTCTCTGGGTTCCCTTCTCAGTGCACATGTTCACTGGGCGTCTTCCACCTGGCCCGTTAGCCCACGTGAAGAACGCCAGGAAGCTGTGAGGCTGTGCGGTCTCGTTCCTGCCGTCCGGACTCTTTTTCCCCTACTGAGATTCGTCTGGTAGGTCTGCAGGCCAGTCATCCCGGGGGGGGCTGAAGTGTGAGTGAGGGTGAAGTGGGCCTCGGGTGGGTCCGGTGGATCCCGCTTCCTGGTCTGTGGCGTCTGAGGGAGAAGGGCCTCGAGGTCGTCCTCCTTCTCTTCTCAGGCTGCTAGGCCACCATCGACTTTGTGGTCGTGAGGGGGCCTGGACAGGGAGGAAGGTGGGCCACGGAGGGAAGGCAGTCAGGGACTCAGGTGAAGATGGGGTGAGTGCTGTTTGGGGGATGGAAGTCCCGAGGTGCCGAGAACCCCTGACAACACAGGGCAGATCCCTGAATGGGGTGCCCGGTGGGGGCGAGGCAGGCGGTAAAGAAGGGACCTGGCACCTGGGAAGGCTACGGCCTGGTGAGCGCCCCACAGTGGTGTGGAGTGTGGAGCGCCCGAGTGAGAAGCACTGCAAGGTCTCACGTCCGCCATGGAAGGTCTGGGAAAAGTGGGAAGGAGTGGGCGAGGCAGTGCGGTGCAACCAAACTTGATGTGAGAGGGCGTGAATGGCGCTGGGAAGCGGGAGTTGCCCAAAGCAGCCATCAAGGGAATTGTGATTCACTAGTGTTTTCGTGGGGAGTCCGCTTGTGAAACTAAAGCTCATCAGAAATGACCCCTATCTGCGGGGCACAGTGGCGCTCGCCTATAGTCCGAATTACTCGGGACACAGAGGCGGGAGGATCCCTTGAGCAGGAGGTCGAGGCTGCAGTGAGCTGTGATCGCGCCGCTGCACTCCAGCCTGAGCACCACAGCAAGACCCCGCGTCCGAAGGAAATTTAGAAAAAAAAGTCCTCTGCCTCTTGCCACACGCCTTAAGGTGACTGCTCTGCCAGCTTGGCCAGCATAAATGGTTTTGTAGGCACTTAGAAAACGTACACACGTATGCTTAACTCTGGGACTTATTTTGAGAGTATTTTCAAAATTAAAACGACAAGTTAACATTGGTCCATGGAAGTGATCGAATATAGCAGCCCTCTGGAGCGCATGTTCCCAATCACGGTTGTCTGTTTTCAGTGTGAAATATGAGTTGGCGAGGAAGATCGACCTACCGGCCTAGACCAAGACGCTATGTAGAGCCTCCTGAAATGATTGGGCCTATGCTGGTGAGCGCTTAAACATTAATTCGATGTTTTTCTATTAGCAGAAATTAATTTTTGCGATAGTGTTGTTGCATTAGTATGGAAATGCTGAGAAACGTCTTTCCTGCTGATAAAACATGATTATGGCGTCTCATGAAGGAAACATAGATTGTGGAGGATTTTTTTGTTTTTCCTCTCGTGTTCTTCAGCTTTTGCCCATGACTTCTTTCTCATGCTTTGTTTGTTAATGACAGATCGTACACATGTATTCCAACATAGAGTATAATAGCTTCCAAAGTCCTTGTGTGTCACTTTTCTCACAGTAACCTCCCTGTGGGTAGAGTAACCTTCTTGGGCATAGAGAATAGAGTTGGAGAAATGTCTTTAGGCTTAGTTATGATCAGAAACAGCTATGTATTCTGTGTATAGATGTAAAATTTTGTATGAATTGCAAAACTTTTTTTTTTTCTTTATTTGCACACCCACACATATTCCCCAGCCCGAGCAGTTCAGTGATGAAGAAGTGAAACCACCAAAACCTGAAGAAGGGGAACCAGCAACTCAAAGTCAGGATCCTGCACCTGCTCAGGAGGGAGAGGATGAGGGAGCATCTGCAGGTCAAGGTGATGGAAAGGGAAGAAGAATGCCCGCTTGTGTGCTCATGTGTGTGCGTGTGCGTGTGTGCATGTGTGTGTGTGTTATGCATTGTCACAGAGCAGGAACAGGGGGAAAGAAATCAATGGAAAGAATGCGTGAAATTGACTGGAAAAGCCAGGAGGCTATGTAGTTTGCAGCTTAGCTTAGGCAAATCCCTCACTATGATAAAATTTCTCGACTTTATGAATGAGAGAGTAGAGGTGCGGGGATTGTGTTTTATCCGAGAACCCTTGACTGGTGAAGACACAATTTGTACTTTTTTCCAAGGTTTGTGTCTTCCTATCATCTGTGTTGCTATACAGAAGGAAATGATTTTGCTGAAAATGCTTAAAACTCTAATGCTTTCCTGTAAGGTAGCTTAGTACTGGCCCAAGAAGAGACCCAGCTCAGAGGAGCAGGAGCAGCTCCAAAAACCGAGTCGCTGAATGTTGGCCACCATTACCTTCGATTGATATTTTTATATGGTACGTTCGATAAAAGCTGGGTACACAAGGGTACTGCCATACAGGTAGCTGGTTTAATGATTTTCTAAGTGGCTTGTAGGAGGTGATTAAATCCTTTTATGGTTAGAAAAGCAAAAAAGGAATTATCCTGAGATTAACATGAGATGGAAATAATTTCTCCGAGATAAAATGTTTTGAAAGGAAACATTTATGTAACTGAGGTCATGGATTATTCCAGGGATTCACTGTCAAAAGTTTCTACAATATGACTGACAACAATGCCCATTAATTGCTGTCCACCCACTCCCTTATTCTCAGTGCGGGACAGTATATTTTGTGTGATTCACAAGCAGTGTTATATGTGGTGCTTTGTTCTTCATGGGGTTCATGTATGGATTATAACATTTAAGACCTTCGGACCTAAATCTAACTTTGTTTGAACAAAGTTAAGTTTCTCTGTACCCCAGTAGGTAATGGGTGTCATGACTGTAATTTTCCATAGTCCTCAAATCCATTCAGCTAATCAGTCCTTCAGAAATTGACATTGTAATTGTAACTGAAATCCTGTCCATGTTGTAGACTTCAGATTCTTAGGTGATGCACACTGCTCTTGGT